TTTGAAATTTTTGATATGCCCATTCCTTAATGAAATGTTTATGGCACACTCGGTTTTAGATCTCAGAACCTAGCTTCTGATATGACGAGGTTATTGAAGCTATAAAGTGGCCATGTACATATTTTAGATTTGACAAGTGACAATCCAGGGCGGTTTTTATGCTCATTTATTCACATCTGTAGGTTTTGTAGTTCACCAAACAAGAAAAAATATGTTTCTATTAATGCTATGTAAATGTTTCAATTTGCATGTTCCAAATAAAGTTTTAATACACAAACATATCTTGTTCAAGCGCATTTTAATTGCAAACTTGTTCTTATAAGCATTTCTGGCTGTAAACTTATTATTTTTTAGTCAAATATAAAACTGCTAAAGGATTCAACGAAAAATCATATTTATTACATTGACAATTTTATTATAAATATAAATATATATAAATTATATTATTTCAATTGCTTTAAAAAATGTTTTTGTACGGCTTTGACGTTGTTTTTTTATTAAGTTGTCAGTTGTTTTCATTTATTACCTTGTTTTCATTTATTACCTCTCTATGTCCATGAATAAGAGCTTCTGTTACATTGTTCATGCCTGGCTTAAACGGCACTCTATTTTCAAAACTTAAAGTGCTCATGGTGCTGTCAATGATCCCGAAGGACCTGAAAAGTATAACACCATTGAAGTGAAGGACGGGACAATTTTGGTCCTCTAGATCTTTTGAAGGAAAGACTAAAAAAAACGGACAAAATTTGCTGGGTTTACTATGCCCCGAAGGGCGGCATATTAAAATCGCACCGTCTGTCTGTCTCTCTGTCCCCACTTCATTCTGTAACTTTGCCATCGAAGGATTTTATAATAACTTGGCATAAATGTTAACCATATGAAGTCGATGTGTCACGCCCAAGAATCACGTCTCAACCTCAAAGATCAAGGTCACGCTAACATTTTGATTTTTCACTTCATCACAATTAGAGTTTAAATAGGTACACACCTACGAGTCCGGACTGTAACTTTGTTGAAGGATTTAAAAATGTTTTGGCATAATTGTCTACAACATCAAAACGACATGTCATTTCCAAGACCAATGTCCCTACCTCTAAGGTCAATGTCACACTTATACTTTTAAGGTACTCATTCTCGGGAGAAGAGTTTGAAGATACACATTCATGTCCGGCCTGTACCTTTGTCATATAATGAAGGATTTTAGAATATCTTGGAACAAATGTCTATCACATCTAAGCTCATGTCCGTCTGTCCGTTCGTGTGTCCCCTTTTACACAACAACAGCGTCCATACTGTAACTTTGTCATTCACTGAGGTATTTTGAAATAACTTGGCACAAATGTCTCCTACATCACTATGTTTTGTCGCGTCCAAGATCCACGTCCCTTCTTCAAAGGTCAAGGTCACACATTTTAAAGGTCCACGCTATCACAATTAAATGTCTACCACATCAAGACGACATGTCGTGTCCAAGACCAATGTCCCTATCTCCAAGGTCCAGGTCACACTTATACTTTTAATGTACTCATTCCCTCGAGAAGAGTTTGAAGATACACATTCACGTCCGGACTGTAACTTTGTATTTTAAAATAACTTGGCATAAATGTCAACTACATGAAGACGACGTGTCGGGTCCAAGACTAAATCACTACCTAAAGGTCAAGGCCACACTTTGAGGTTGAAGGTACCCATTTTTGTGTCAAAACTGTAGCTTTATCATGCATGGAAGAATTTTAAAATTACTTCGCACAGAAGTCAAACACATCATGGTGATGTGTTTCCTTTAAGACCCATCATTGTCAAAGTGACAGGTTAAGGTCACACGGTTTCACATTCTCACAAGTAGCGTTTAAAGGTACACACATTTGTGTCTGGACTGAAACTTTTATGCACGGTAAGATTTTTGAATAACGTAGCATATATGTCTACCACATGAAGACGACATGTCGAGTTTAAGACCCATGTCTCTACCTCCAAGGTCACTCTTACAGTTAGAAGGTACTCATTTTCTCAAGAAGAGTTTGAGGATACACATTCGTGTCCGGAATGTAACTTTGTCATACATTGAAGAATTTTAAAGTTACATGGCACATATGTCTACCACATCAATGCGACGTATTGTGTACAAGACCCATGATCCTTCCTCTAAGGTAAAGGTCACTGTAATAGTTTGAAGGTACTTATGCTCATTAGAAGAGTTTGAAGGTACACATCAGTTTCCAAACTGTAGCAATGTCATGCATTGAAGGATTTTGAAAGAACTGTGGATATATGTCTACCACATCAAGATGATGCCATTTTGTCAAGTTTCCAACATTTTTTCACAATTGCAGGCTGGGACTGTTGCAGACTGTGATATGCCAAGTGTTTAAAGTTGATCAGAAATATTTCACTACCTTTGAGTCTGAAAAGGTATACTTTTAAACATCTGAACAAATCATTCTTAGACTTCATGTTTCCTAGCAAAATGAATATCAATTCTGCCATCAATAGTGTAATATTAATAGAATTACTGAGTATTTATAGTAATACGATATTAATAAATGTTTGCAAATATATTAAAGAAGCTTTAAAACTAAGAAATTCAATTTTGAACTCTCAATTGTAGTTCATCCTCTTAAGAAGTTGGTGCTTTTAATTGTTATATTATGGTTTATATTTATCATAATCACTCGCCATACATATATTTATGTGATTTTGTTGTATATATGTATTCAATGCATGTTACCTAGACATGTACCTTTGAATAAGTCTAGAAAATAAAAGTTCTGTTATATTAATAGAGTACTTATAACTAGAGGATATTGAATGAGTATAAGTTCAATACTAAATTTATTGAACGAGTTGAATAAAGTTAATATATCATGCGAGCTTCTGGAGCATAATATTATTTTATTCAACGAGTTCAATGAATTCAGTATTGAATTTACACGAATATAATATTCTATTTATCACATATCCAAAATAAAGAGTGTTAAAAGTGAAAAAGAATCATTTTTCTATGACGCGCCTATAGTGTAACATTAACATTTAGCGCGTCTTTAAAACGCAAATGACGTCACGTCAAAATATATCACGGCCGTGCAATACCGTTTTTACGGAGTCGTAAAATCGGCACGGGTATGTGATAAATAGAGGATATTGAATGAGTGTAAGTTCAATACTGAATTTATTGCACGAGTTAAATGAAATTATATTATGCGAGCCTCTGGCGAGCATAATAGTATTTTATTCAACGAGTGCAATAAATTCAGTAATGAACTTACACGAATTTAATATTCTATTTATCACACACCAAAAATAAAGACTGTTTAAAGTGAAATAAGCGTCATTTTACATTGACGCGCCTATAGTATAGCGCAAACATGTAGCGCGTCTTTACACTATATTTGTATAACGCTAATGACGTCACGTGAAAATATATGCACGGCCGTGCAATACCATATTTACGGAGTCGCAAAATCGGCACTGGTGTTTGATAAATTTCAATCTTACATGCAAAACAAACAAATATCCTCTATATAATAGTTGAAAACAAGGTGATCAATTCAAAAGTTATTTTTATCACACACCCGTGCCGATTTTGCTACTCCGTAAAAATGGTATTGCACGGCCGTGCATATATTTTGACGTGACGTCATTAGCGTTATCTAAACATAGTGTAAAGACGCGCTAAATGTACACGTTATACTATAGGCGCGTCAATGAAAAATGACTCTTATTTCATTTAAACTGTCTTTATTTTGGGAATGTGATAAATAGAATATTAAATTCGTGTAAGTTCAATACTGAATTTATTGCACTCGTTGAATAAAAATAATATTATGCTCGCCAGAGGCTCGCATAATATAATTTTATTCAACTCGTGCAATAAATTCAGTATTGAACTTACACTCATTCAATATCCTCTATATTTGTGAAGGAAAACAAAATGTGATATTTTTCGGTTGCATTATTATAATACAATTAGAAGTAATTTTTAAAGAGTAGTCATATAAACATATAGAGGATATTCAAGTTTTTTTCTATAAATACATGATTTATTTTCATCGAGTGGTATGAAAATAAATATTTCATGAGTGGCGGTAGCCACGAGTGAAATATGGTAATTTTCATGCCACAAGATGAAAATAAATCATGTATTTATAGAAAAAACTTGAATTTTCTGTTTATTATATACATTTTTCTCTTTTTTGGGATAAAATTTGAAAGACTGTCCCTTAAATTTTGTGTACTGGCAGAATTTAAAAGAAAGTAGTCCGGCAAGACACCAATGAAAATACGGAAAATATGTTTCACTGCAGTGAAAAATAAATTTTTACAGTGAAAATACGGAAAATGAAAATACGCATTTTATTTCATCAATATTTCTCAATATTTCATTTATAAGTATATAATAAACATGTATATTTAACCATAAACTTAACAGAAGATAACTTCATGAATATCAAATTAAGTATGAAATATATACAAACTATTTTGGATACATAGAGGATATTTGTTTAGTTCAGTGTAAGATCGGAATATATTTCACCGAGTGAGCACCAAAGGTATATTTCACGAGTGGCGAAGCCACGAGTGAAATATGAACTTTTGGTGTTCACAAGGTGAAATATATTACGATCTTACACTAAACTAAACAAATTTTCTTTTTATTATATGCAAAGAAACCTTTTAAAAAGACATTAAACCTAATACTGAATGAAAAGCGCGCCAAATAATAATACAACGTGACGTCATTTAGGACGTCACGTCATTAAGTTGGTACCCAGTACTGTGCACGCTGGTATTTCACTGAAACAACGTAAGGGGCTTAAATTCAAAACAGTGAAATTATCAAAGTGGTAATTTCACTGTTTCAAACAGTGAAATTACCACTTTTATATCACTGATATATTTCTATAAACCACCGAAAAGGATGTAATAAATATTTTTAACCTCTGTAGGCAAGTTTAAATACAAACCTTTATTTCATGCTTTCTAGTGTTTTATTGTAATATATCAGGGGCCCGTCTTATCAACGATCGTACGATTTTGGAAATCTTAGCGTACGATTTTGATCTACGATTGTCGTACGCTCGATCGTAAGACTGTCTTATCAACGCGGTCGTACGTTCAACCTAAAATCTTACAATTTTCATAAGCGTACGATTCTTACGCCTGCGCACTAACACGTACTCTTCAAAAAAGGAGGTAACGCGCATTTTAATGTCAAACTTGAAATACGATGTCTGCTACAATTCAGCGATGTCTGACAAGGCAAGAAAAGTTAATTGGACAACTCAAGAGCGTGATATGCTCATTAGCAAGTGTGAAACTGCTGATGTAGCCACCGGCAAGTTTTCACAGACAATTACAGCCGCGGACAAAGCCCGTTTTTGGGCGGATGTAGTGGAAAGGTAACCAGCAATGTTTATTAATAGATCATTTACGATATTTACATGTATATTTACATAAATTGTACTTGCAAAACTTTATATATCGCTTTAAAACATCTAAAAGGCTTAAATTACAGCCGTGGTCTGTAGCGGTACTGATTCAATGTCACTCGATCTACTCTCGGATTAGTTCTATTTCACAATATACAAAGAATGACATATCTGATATATAGCCCCGTACTGCCTCTTTCCGATCAGCTAACAGATTTTTCAACAATAACTGACAGTGAAATTATATTTAATAAAAATCTCTTTCAATTCTGCGAATATTATCATTTTAGCTAATAAATGCACTAACTTTTTAAAATTTTACCTGAATTATTATTATGAATCGAGGACAAATCATTACTGACCCATTGTCCTGTTCTTCAAAATTATACAACCACTTTTCAATCAGTTTACAAAATATAAACTGTACCACATAAAAATTGTCATACAATGTTAAAATATGATCAGTTATGTATTATGGAGAAATTTTGACAAACTCAACTTCAGATAAATGGTAATAAACAATTTTAACCTAATTATAATGCCATTTTTCAATCTTGATATCTATTTGCAGTGGTAAAGCTGTCATAATTGGGGTATGGATGTACATTTCAATTTGCATAACAGAGAAAGCATGTTCTTGTGAAATTTTTAGGATCTTAGGGTCTATATGACACCATTCTAGTGAAAGCTTACTGAAAAGTTATCAGAGAGAATGTTTTTCCTTGGTTAAGTGACTGTTACTTTACTGACGTATTACCTTTAAATTAAGAATTGTATGGTAAAATATGTACATATTAAAATAATAGCTTTCTAAGTGCAGTAAACATTATGACTTCATGATATTGAAACAGTTGTCCAACTTAATATCCATTTCTGCAGACTGATTAAAAACTGAGTCTGTAAATCAATTATTTTTAGAAAATTATTGTGATTTGTAACTTGGAAATTAAAGGATTAGTGGAAAACACACATTTTACATAATTTGAACTAAAATGCTAGCATTTTCTTTTTTTATCGCCATAATTAACATTGCTGCTGATAAATTTAGTCAAGGTGAATACAAGATGTGCTTACAGTTTGGTTACATGACAAATAAGGTCAAAAATAAAAAAAATCTAGGGATGATTGAAAAGTGGTTGTGATTGAAAACTGGCAGTATGTGGATACATGTATTTAACTACTTTGACCCATATTTTATGTTATTTCTTTCATTCATTTTTCAGCAAATTTTACAAATTTTTGACATAAAATAAATTCGACCAATTGCGACTTTCTATAAGTTGACCAATTCTATAAAATACACTGGTTTGGATTATTATATTATAAAATTAACACTGGCCACTGTGATGTTGTTAGTTAGGGTAATGAATCATGCCACTCATTGTCACATTTGTATATTTAATACTTCTGGGGCTCTGTTTTTCTGCATCCAACAATTTTGAATCTGTTAAATCACATATATGATTGTTAATCATTTTACAGGTTCCTAAATCAATATCAAAACATTATTTAACACATGTTTGACATTTCTAAAGAATTAACAAATATGCATAATGTGCCTATACGTTATCAATCGTCTTTCTAATTGTTAACTTTTTTTGTATTTGCAAATAAATAGTGTACACTTGTCACTTATAACTTTTCATGTTTCCCTTATCCTTAAATATATACTATGTATATGCTTATCCTTAAGTATAATATTTTAATCACAGAAAATTATTGAAATCAATGAAATAGTTACTGAATGAATAAAATAATGAATGAAGTATGTATGGTAAGCTGTGTTCCCCTAAACAGGACAAGTGAAGTTGGTCTTTTCAAAAAAAAACTTTTTAATGGTTCTTAATATTTACATTGTGACCACCTATAACATGTAGAATTTTAAATATAACTTATCTACTTTGTGTGAAGTCAGAATGTGTTTGTTATATATTTATACATATATGTAGCAGTTAATGGATTGACTTGAAGGTTTGTATTTTAATGCTAAAATTTCTTTTAAATTTATTTAACTATCATGTTTTTTAAATAACATGTGAAAATAATTCTAAATAAAGAGTAAAATCTGATAATTTGTAATTTGAAAGCTTTGTTTAGCTGAATATTTAACCAAAAATAGATCTTTTACCAAAATAAAGTATTTTGAATGTCAACCTTTCTCTCCTGCTCAATTTTTTCAACACCCACAATTCATTCATTGCATGACATTTTGACTCTAATTTGTAAAAGATTTAGATGTTTCAAAATTGTTAATGTTCATGCTGTAATCAATTTTTTTAACATACAGCACATTTATAAGTAACAAGTCATTTCATATTAAAGGGTAACATGTACCTTTTTGCTGTAAAAGCAGGAATTATTTTTCACCCGTCCACCTGTAAATACTCTGCCCTTCTACATATTTTCATGAAGTGATGTCTTTATATTACATCACAAGAACAAGAAGGTGAGATAAGGTGTTGACAGTTTCTAGATACTTTTAGTTTCTGCATTCATTACAGACACAAGTGGAATTTTATATAATGCTAATACATATGATTGATTATCTTTTCAGTCACAAACCAAGAAGAAAACTATACAGTATATTGCGGAAACCAGAAAAACAGGTGGTGGCCCAGCCCCTATCTTAGACCTGAAGGCATGGGAGAGCAAGGTATCAATAGATTTAATAGTTAGTATGGTCTAACCATCATAGAAAAAAAATAGACATTGTCTGAAGATACATAAACTGTTTTTCCAGCTTTTAAATTACTTCCCATTGCAAATTTCCTCCTAATAATTGCATTTTTTTCTGCAACACTGTTCTGACATTGACATTGACAGTTTCTTAAGATCAACATTGTCTTATATACAAATATCTCATATGTAAAGTTTATATATAGACTAAGTTGAAGATGTATGATAGAAAATTGTTGTAGAATGGCTAGTATGGAAATATTTTTCCCTAGAATTTATATGTGATCTGTATAGTCCTTTCCCTATATTTTTTCTTTAATAAATGTTACATACAAACAAATATCATCATCATTGCTTTTTGAAAAATGTAATGTCCACTTAAAAAGTATCCTGCATATCTTTTTTGTTTCTGAAACAAGTGAAGCTATAAACTTACTTTTTTAAGATTATATGTAAAGGGTTACACACCAGTTTATCATTTCAAATCTCCTGACTTTTCACTAATTTTCTATATACATGGCTATTTCTACACAGATTCTACAGACAATACCCACCTGCAGTGTAGAAGGGATAGAAAATGGTGCAGACACCTTTCTTGGTAAAGTTTTGTATTGCACTTATAACTACATGTAGAATGATACTGTGATCATGTCATTAAATGTGAATGAATTTCATGATGAATGACCAAACTTACTTAAAATAAATTATAAGTGAAGCACAATAACTTAATCCAAACATCTTAACAGTATTAAATGAATAGACTATTTTAAGAAAATTAAGACTTTTGTTCCCAAGTTAAACATAGAATAAATAAAATTAATTATGATAAACATAGATTGAATTCTTCACACTTTCACTTCTGTTACTGATATATAGAGGATATTTGTTTTGTTTTGCATGTAAGATTGAAATATAATTTCACTGAGTGAACACCAGATGCAATATTTTCACGAGTGGCGTAGCCATGAGTGAAAATATAATAGCTGGTGTTCACGAATGAAATATATTTCAATCTCATATGTAAAACAAATAAATTTTCTTTTTATTTCATGCTATTTAAGTGATTTTAAGTATTCTTTACTGATTTTGCCGTGTAACGTCGCGCATTTCCTTTGTGACGTCATCACATCATGACGTCATATCATCAATTTTGAAATATAGTTCTGTTAGATTTCTCTAATTTTGTTACATTTTTAACATGATGTATGGTTACATCAACTTTCTTTTCCTTAAGAAGCAAAATTTACGCACGACGGCATTTATCTCTGCCTGTCATTCCATTTAGTTACGATTCTCTTTTCATCCGCATTCAGATATAGTCCGGCTACAGTGCAAATTATATTTTATAAATTTCACTAGTGGTTTATCAGAATATAATCATCTATATATTACAATAAAACACTGGAAAGCATGAAATAAAGTAGATTAGTGTATCTGTTTTTCTGTGATTTAACATTATATTGTTACATAAACTAAGCTGTCATTTCCTATAATAGGTATCTAGGTAGATGTATACATATTTATATACATGTAAGGTATACAGTCATGAGCAGAAATATACAATTAGAAAAGACACACAAATATTGTGAATTATGCAGCAATCCATAGACTACATAATTTTACATACCAGAAGGCTACATACTTATACCAGAAGGTTACATACTTAAGATTCACATTTATTAGTTAGCATGTCACATTGTGCAGTTTATGGACATGTGACTTGTACTTTAAGTTATGTAATAACTAATACAGGCTTCTTTTTTTAGCTTTGGGAAGAAAGGAAATTTTGCAGGATAAAGGATTTGAAGGTAAGAATAACATAACTTAACTTTACATAATGTTTATTCAGCAATTTAACAAAGTACATAATGTCTTATCAATAATATATGTTGACATGTATTGTTGAAATTATTTATAGTCACACCATGTCACTTTTTATAAAAAATGATAGGATTGTTGCATTTTATTTAACTGAGGTTAAGTGTGCCAAAAACTCAAAAAGAAAAGCTTTCTAAAATCTTCTGGAAACTTGTATACATATATATTTATGAAAAAATACCTTCATTAACATAAACAACTGTCGTTTTATTTCTTATTCAAGCTGGAAATAATTCAATAATACTCATGCACATTAAATTGTAGGTGATAATGAGCCAGTGCCAAAGAAGGCAAAATATGACAGTAAGTATTATTATGTTATAGTATTACTCCAATTCTATTATTATTCATTTATTAACTTGCATGATTCAACATACTAGTGATTGCGAACTGAGGCCTTGAAAAGCATGCACTTGAGTAGAACCACAGATCACCCATAAGATATAGATATGTGTAGCTTCCACAAAAGGAAAAAGAACCCAAAGTCTCTGTTGGGTTTTAAACACACAGCCGTGTGGGGCAGGTGATGTGAAGAAAACAACCTTAACTACTCATACACAAAAACCCCCATAACTTGATTTGAGGCATTATTAGTACATTGAAATACAGTACTTGCACATTGAATCAGAATATAAGCTATTTATATAATGCAGTGTGTTTTGGAAGTAATTTCTTGTAACTTAAATGCACTTTTTGCAAATTGACCATATCTAAACTTGTTCCACTAAGTATGTACATGAAAATTGTACATACATCAATCTTTTAGACTGAGTTATTTTGATTTCATTTTTCAGAGAAAACAGAGGATGACATATATCAACTTGTTGAACAACAGACTGCAATTATGACAGAATTGAATTCAACATTAAAAACATTAAATCAGTCTTTAGATGGCATAAAAAAAAGATTAGACAAACTTATTTAAAATTCTAACACGACATGTATGTTTCCCTTATGAACTCAGAAGAACCGAAATTGTGTGTTATAATGGTCATAAAATCAATGTTGACATTCTTATTAATTTGGACATTTGATGAAACCATTAAAAATTTTATGAGCTGAATATTAATATGGAAACTTTACAGGCACAAGTTAGCTTAATATCGGGTACTGCAGCATTTATTAGTTGACATGTGTTAGGATTGAAATAATATATCTCAATCAGTAAATTTAACCATTGATATATTAAAATCAATGTTTGTCCTTCAGATGTGCAGCATTATATCAACGGGGCTTTGTCCCCGTGATGTAATTTCTTACATCTGGACTCCGAACAGTGATTTTATTTAGCACTAAAATCAAAATTTAGGATATATTATTTCTTAATCATTAATTTATAGTCATTGTAAAATTTTCATTTAAGCACCCACCCTCCCTAACATAGTGTTGGTGTCTATTTTTATCAGGAAACACTTCTGTCCTATCTGTATTTTGAATTGTTTTTACCATGTTTGTTTTGAAGTAACAGTTGAGCAATTATGATAGTTGCAATTGTTAAGTCCTTTTTAAACTTAGAATTTTAGGCAATTTAGAATTTTTAACATAATTGCCTGTAATATAGAATGATTTAAAAGCTATAAAAGACATCAACATGAAACTTGTTATACTGTTAGTTAAAAAAGAATTTTGACAGGTTATATTACCCCATTTAAATGGTTGTTTGCTTATATAATCTAGTGACAAGGTGAGGGTTATAATTTGCAAACAAATTCTTTTAAATGGCCATATAACTTATCAGAAATCTTTGTAACAAAGTCATAATACAGCAAACAACATTTTTAGAGGGGAAAAAATTCTTCAATCATAAATTTAAACATCATTGTATTCCAATGAAAAATGATGTTAAAAAATGTGCAGTATTTGAATTATTAATATTTAACAGGTATAGTTGTAAGACAAGGGGATATTTCTGAAAGCTATATTTTTATGCCACCGCAGCATCTGCGATGCGGTGGCATATAGCGATTCACCTGTGTGTGTGTGTGTGTGTGTGTGTGTTTGTTTGTTTGTTTGTGTGTGTGTGTGTTATATAGATTATATAGTGAACTTCAAAAATCTTCTTGTGAAAAACCACTGGTCCAATTTCAACCAAACTTGGCAGGATTGATCCTTGGGTGAAGGGCTTCCAAAGTTGTTCAAAGAATTTCATTCCATGCAGAAATCTGGTTGCCATGGCAACCAAAAGGAATTATAAGAATAAATTAAAAAAATCTTCTTGTAAAGACCCAAAAGGCCTAGAGCTTAGATATTTTGCATAAAGCATTGTCTGGTAGACCTCTACCAAGATTGTTCAAATTATAGCCCTGGGGTCAAAATCGGCCCCGCCCCGGGGGTCATTGATTTTCACTATATGTACATATAGTAAAAACTTAAAATACCTTCTTGTAAAGACCCAAAAGGCCTAGAGCTTAGATATTTTGCATAAGGCATTGTCTGGTAGACCCTTACCAAGATTGTTCAAATTATAGCCCTGGGGTCAAAATCGGCCCCGCCCCGGGGGTCATTGATTTTCACTATATGTACATATAGTAAAAACTTAAAATACCTTCTTGTAAAGACCCAAAAGGCCTAGAGCTTAGATATTTTGCATAAGGCATTGTCTGGTAGACTTCTACCCAGATTGTTCAAATTATAGCCCTGGGGTCAAAATCGGCCCCGCCCCGGGGGTCATTGGTTTTCCTTATATGTATATAGTAAAAACTTATAGTAAAAACTTTAAAAAAAATTCTAGCAATTGACAAATGCTAGAGGTTAGATATTTTGCATGAAACATTGTGTAGTGAACCTCTAGCAAGATTGTACAAATTATAGCCCTGGGGTCAAAATTGGCCCCACCCCCAGGGGTCATTGATTTTCACTATGTACATATAGTAAAAAAAAAAAACTTCTTGTCTGAAGGTACAAGGCTTAGAGATTTTATATTTGGTATGTAATATCATGGGTCCTCTACTAAAGTTGTTTTAATTATGCCCCTAGTGTTAAAATTGCCCTGCCCCAGAGGCGATAGTTTTCCTTATATGTATAAAGTAAAAACTTGAAAAACTTCTTCTCTGAATTGACAAAGGCTAGAGGTTAAATATATGGCATTAGACTTTGCGAAGTGAACCTCTACCAAGATTGTTCAAATTATAGCCCTTGGGTCAAAATTGGTTCCACCCCGGGGGTCATTGATTTTCATTATGTACATATAGTAAAAAAAAAAAAAAAAATATTTTTGTCTGAAGGAACAAGGCATAGAGCTTTGATCTTTGCTATATAATATCATCTATAGGTCCTCTACCAAAGTTGTTCAAATTTTTCCCTTGGTGTCAAAATTGGCCCTGCCCGGGGGCAGTGATTCTCATTATGTACACATAGTAAAAACAGAAAATAAAACAAATGTTTTCTGAATGGGAGAAAGCTACAGCTTAGATATTTGACTTGAAATGTTGTTTGGTGGACCTGTATCAAGATTGTTTTGAATTAAACCCTTGGGTCAAAATTTTGCCTTGCCCAAGGGGAAAGTGACCTACTTTCTTATCCTTTGATGTACAGCAATGAAATTTTGACCATGTGCACAGTTTAAGTTGTAAAATTGAACTTTGATATCAGGTGATCTAGACTTTGATGATGTGACCCTACTTTCTTGTCCTTTGATGTACAGCTATGAAATTTGAACCATGTGCACAGATTAAGATGTAAAGTGAATTTTGATATCAGCTGGATTTAGATTTTAACAAAGTGTCTTACTGTGTTGTCCATTGATATAGTCATGAAATTTAGGCTGTGTGAAAATATGACCTTCACCACCAAATTCACCAGACTCGAGTGCATTGATATATTCCTACTCTGATCTTTTATTGGATTAACAATAGATTCAACCACTAATCTGATGATAAGAATTAGATAGGTCAGGGATCTATGCATTATGACAATCTTCAATTGTATAGAAACAAAAAATATCTGTTTCTACACTACTATTTAGTGTTGTATTAATGCGGTGGCATAGCATTTTTCTCAAATGCAATCTTGTTAGCAGTTATTTTTCACAATGATTCAATGAATTAATGTATTTCATGAAATCACAAATTAATATTCAACATATTAACTGAATAGCTTTCACATGTATAGTTTACTTATATTATTTAATATTACTACCTAACCCCTTTAATGTTTATTATTCATTTCAAATATAATTTTTTCTTATCAAAGGTATCATTGACTCTGACAATAAGTTAACTACTGTACTGTGCTAATTTTGGTTTATGTGAAATACAAAGTAATTCTTTTAATAATACATGGGTGCTTAATTGAGATCAAAACATAGATTTAATTGTTTTAATTGAGTGAAATGTTATATTTCAAGTGACCAGAACAAGTAATTATATTTTAATTTCTATGTCTTAAAAACATTTTTTCAGAATTAATTAATTAATGAAAAAAATAAAAAAAATCTACCAAACAACAATTTTTCTTCAAATTTATATGACAGGCCATGTTTAAACATGGAAAAACGCGATTTAGGGCAATTTCAAGTATTTTCATCATATTCTGTTAACCCATTACTTCATATACACGCCTTTTAACGCCTTTTTCACCCCCCCCCCCTCTTTTTGTTGTCTCAAATGGTGAAAAAATGCCTTCTTTAAGCCCCTTACACTTGTTTTTGTTTGAGAAATGTTGTTAAAAAAAGTGACCACTTTTTCGGCGCGGCCCCCCAACCAAAAGATACATCAGGGGGTTGCCAGAAGGGGGATGTGCCCCCTTCTGTTTGGGGGGTTTGAAGGGGGGCGGAGTCCCCCTCATCGCCAAGAAAATTTTGGTCTTGTGAGAGGCTATAAATGACCCCAGATTGATCATAAGGTAACGTGTAACCAACGCTGAAAAGCATTTGACTCTATCTCAATCCATTGAGAAGTTGCAGCACTTTGAAATCAATTATGATGGATAAAAATCAACGCAAAATAGTGATTTTTGGCAATTTTGAGATGTCCCCTCGTTGCCATGGTAACAGAAAATTTATGTCTGAGCATGTTGTTGCAAGGGCAATGGTCCAGTCAACATTTGTGCCAAGTTTGATTAGTGTTGAAGCAGTTTTTATAGTATTATAGCAATTTGAACTTGTAACGGGAGACTTTTCAATGAAAACAGCCATTTTTCACAAAATGCTCATGAAGTAATGGGTTAATTCCTGTCTAATGTTATTATTACTTCTGTCATCTCCATTTGGTAAATTATTATCATCATCATCATCATCCTGTGTGATGATCTCCACAGGCTCTTGTACTCCTCTAGTTTTACAAAAGTTATGTAGCCTCATACATGCTACCACAACTTGGCTGCTCTTTTCTAGTGAAAACGGTAGAACACCACCACTTTTGTGTAGGCATCTGCAATAAAGGCATAAATATATGAGCCGCGTCATGACATAACCAGCATAATGGGTTTGCGACCATCATGGATCCAGACCAGAGCGCAGTCTGATCAGGATCCATGCTGTTAGCTTACAGTTTTTCTACTTGTTATAGGATTTGTAAACGAACAGCATGGATCCTGATCAGACTGCGCGGATGCGCAGGCTGGTCTGGATCCATGCTGGTCGCAAACCCATTATGATGGTTTTGTTGTGACGCGGCTTATGTATGTTATTTGTTTCATGTGGTATGTCATTACTTCAGTGGCATGACATTTTCACAAAAATAGGGCCAGAAGTAGAGATCAAAGTTGGGACAGCATCATTTAAACATATTGTAAATTCATTATCAATACAGGTCATATAGTGAAACACATTATGATAAAATGGATCAATACAATTTGGCGGCGTGGCCGAGTGGTTAACGCGTCGGACTATTAATCTAAGGATTGCTGACCGCGTGGGTTCAAATCCTGTCAGGGCCACGCTGTTGTTTCCTTGAGCAAGAAACTTTACATTCTTTGCTTAGTACTGGTTGGTTCCAGGAACGGATTTGAGAGTGTTTCAATAAGCTTATAGCTTCCAACACAATCGAACTAAAATAAATTTGTATAAACTAAACTAATACAATAATTACTTTGAATGATTTGCAATATTTTACCTGAAACGTGACTTCAGTATACCAAAGGCTTTTTCTACCACCATTCTGCCTCTGCTATGGTGTTTATTGAAGGCTTCCTCTTGTGGTGTTGTCGGATTCACCTTTGGGGTCAAGAGGTACCTCCTTAGAGGGTAACCACTATCCCATAATAACAACCCATTATTACTTTGTTCTAAATGTGTCTGAAAAATGATAGGTTATCATAAAGCAGTTATTTTCAGATGACATATAGTTTTCTTTAGAAAATTCACAAAAGCTAGATAAAATCAGAAAGAAAAAATATTTTTGTCCTTAATCATTTACTATGATGTTAGCACAAGCATTTACTAATATAATTAGAAGTCCATTAAGGGTAATGCAGCTTTAATTCATGTCATGAGAAATTGATTGTGAAAAATTTCACCTTTAACCCACAAGCATTGAAAATGGCCGCATCATGCTGTGAACCAGGCCACCTTGAAACAACATCTGTGAATCTACAAGAAGTTTATTTATTATATACTTTTAAATGAAATATTGAGAAATATTGATGAAATAAAATGCGTATTTTCATTTGCCGTATTTTCACTGTAAAAATTTATTTTTCACTGCAGTGAAACATATTTTCTGTATTTTCACTGGTGACCTGCCGGACTACTTTCTTTTAAATTCTGCCAGTACTCAAAATTTAAGGGAGAGTCTTTCAAATTTAAATGTCCAGAAAGAGAAAAATGTACATAATAAACCGAAAATTCAAGTTTTTTCTGTAAATACATGATTTATTTTCATCTTGTGGCATGAAAATTACCATATTTCACTTGTGACTACCGCCACTCATGAAATATTTATTTTCATACCAGTCGATGAAAATAAATCATGTATTTATAGAAAAAACTTGAATATCCTCTATTTATTTGATAAGTAAATCTACAACAGCTACATCAATTTGATACATTAATGTACAGGAAATATATTGATTTAATAAATTTATCTGAAGTTGTACTTTTTTTTTTATAACTTGCCAGTAGTATGCTTCCCTTTTTTCTCCTTAGCATTTTAATGTTATAAAAGTGTAAGTTAAGTTCATATTCATTATATTGATTTAAACAGTTGTCAAATGAAAATAAGTTCCTCCTGGAACACTTCTTGGATTAAGAAACTAAATTAGATTCTATTTTATAATTTTTTTGTAATTTAACACAGGACTTGAATGTTTGACATAAAATAGTGTACCTCATTTCAGCATCGACTACTGCCTGAACATTAAGGGCATGGAACCCTTTTCTGCAGACATAAGCTGCCTCATCCTGTGATGGACCCTGAATAGGGATGAGGGTTCCATCTACTGCTCCTACAAAAAAAGAAGCTGAAATTGATATTTTCTTAGCAAGGATTATATACAAAGAAGTGCCACTTGTGCCTGTAGGAATGATATCAAATGATTTTAAACATAAAACAATGTAACAAGCATTTCCAAAAGCATAATATTATATTTAAAACATTGCTTTTAAATATATGTATATATATGAAACTAATGTTCAGTAATTAATGATCAATTACCGATTACGTTTGGGGTTCTACATTCCTCATAGAATTTCCTCTTCAAATGATGTAATCTTGACCTCTCAGTTGGAAATCTGAAATAAAAGTATAAGTGGTATTTAATTATAGACGTTAAATGAAAAGAGTATACATGTATGTACTGATTAAAGAAGTGGTAGGAATAGGGTTTTCCTTTGCTCATATGAAACCCCATAAAATATCAAATTAGCTACCATTATTATCTAATATATAAACATTATGAACAAGTAAGAGTCATAAGACAGTGAATGCCAACTATTCTTAAAACAAAAAGAGCTGGCATAATGCATTTTTTTTTTCAAAGTTCAGAAAGGGCCCTGATTATATCAGACAAAACCCATGTAAGTACACCGGTAAATTATGCACCACATGTTAAATGTATGTGACACACGTTTTACATATGGTAAAAAACATATGGTTTCTTCAGAAAAGTGCTCCATATGTTTTACATATGATGCAAACACATGTTTTTCATATGGATACACATGAATAACACGTTTTTTCATATGGTGGGCCAAGAAAAGGTCACTGTTTGTTACATGTATGATATAGACTTATGTTTTTCACAAAAAATTATTATTTTCATTACAAATGGTAAATTATGTTCCAGAGTTTGGTTTGCTGGAACTCGATAATTCATACAAGTGTTAAGTGTTCAGTACCACGTGTAAGTAAAACTATATATATATATGTATATAATTATGCTTATAAAACAATTTTCAAACATTGATGAATATGTAACGTATGTACTTCAAATATTTGTCCATACAATCAGTGTTCGAAATTAGCAGTAGTCCTATAGCCCCTGACTACTAAATTTCTCCTCGGGCTACCAACTTTTCACAGTAACAAGCCCGACCAGGCTACTGTATTTTCAGAGGCAATATATAAACAATTGTTTTGAACAAATGAATCGTGCTAGTGAAATGTCTTTTGGGCTAGTGAATATTCCAATCTGGTAGTCCGACAAGCCTAGTGGATTCAAATCCTAATTTCTTACACTGTACAATATGTAATAATCAAAATATATGCATTCATTTCTTATTGAAAAATTTGACAAAATAATCTTTTTATCACCTCCCTTTATATACATGAAATATTTTTTTAAAATACTTACAAAATTGATAAATCTTAATTTGAGCATAAATTTTATGATATGATGGTAACTCCCTATGGGTCACCACATTTTTGGCTTCTTTCACTTAATAAACACTAAAATATACAATGAATAAAAACATGAATGGCAACACTATTCTTTTACCAGAACCATAAGTTAGCACATAGATTGACAATGAACAAAGGATCTTTTCAGAATTTATGTACAATCATTTAGAATCTAATAGGGACTGTAAAAAGTGTAAAAGTTTGCAGAATATATATAATACATAGATTTAATCATATGAAAAACACACGAAAGTTCACATATATTTTACATAATTATATAAAAAGAAACTATATTAAAAAAAAAAACATCTCATATAAAAAACATGTGATAACCACGAGTTCAACATATGCTTGTTGACACATGCTTTTCAATATGGTCCTGTTTACATATGTCAATCTCTCATATGAAAAACACATGTTTTTAAACACATGTTTTTCAAAACACATGAAACACATATGTTTTACATATGGGGTACCAAACAACAGCAAACATGTGGTGCATATTTACCTGTGATATACAGGATTGCCTTAGTTTTTTTTTTCAAATAATATATCTAGTAAAAATAGATAAAATTTTGCACAGATTTGTATTGAGCAATAGACTACTGTGTATGAATGTAATCACAAGAGTATCAATGAATGCTAATTGACGAAGTGTTTCAGAAATTAAATTGAATTAGATTCAATATAACCCTGTATACTATTATAGAATTTATTATAAGTAAGTAAAAATTACTTGTATATGTGTACAGCTCCACATACTCACCTAATATTCTTTAATCAAAGGTTTACACTTCGTATGAATTGGTGAATGTAAATGGCAGCTCTGGCTTTAGACACCCCGTGGAGGATCTCCAACTTCTGATATGAAATCGCCTTTTGCGAGGTTCATCGAAGTCCAATAAGAACCTGCAATGAAAGAAAGTCGAAAATTTGCTTTATTGATATGCTTGAATAAAAAATTACTTGATAAAAATATATCTAGATCTTATATGATTTTACGGTAGGCACAAATGTGACATGTGTGTGTTTTTATTTATCTCATGGCCACGAGATACTATGTCGTGGCCACGAGTTATTAAGTCGTGGCCACTAGATACCTATAAGTCGTGGCCACAAGATACTATGTCGTGGCCACGAGTTACTAAGTCGTGGCCACGAGATAGCTTAGTCGTGGCCACGTGATAAATAACCAATTGATCAGATTACACCATTTATGTTACTGTCCCCAATTAGCTAGACATGTGCTGTAGTACAAGGATACCCCTTCTTCACCAGCCTGTAAAAGTGCAATTTATACAACTTATTGACTTGTCGCTAATTTTACACTTAGCGTCACTGTGACTTAGTAACTCATGGCCATGACATAGTATCTCGTAGCCTAATCAATTTGGCGTGAACGGTTTGACCCATTTTTTAGACTTTTTTTATTACTGTCGTTTTTCTTATTACTGTCAAACCGTTGGGAAAAGACAGCGCCCGTCCAAAATTATCCCGGTGTCTCTTTGACAAGTCTAATTAGTTGGACTAAGTATCTCGTGGCCACGAGATAAATAAAAACACACACATGTAAAGAAAAAAAAGAAAACTAACAAGTGTTGGCTTTTATTATACATACCTAAAATATGACATTTCTATTCAATGGGCTGTGAAAATCAGAACTTATTAGCTATCATGTAAAGAAATTATTCTTACCTGCTAGTGCTATACTTATGATAAGCTTTAATAATAGACGACATGACGAGTGCTATGTCATAAATTATTTATCCTTTATCGTTTATTACTGATTTCTCGTAACTTCAGCAACTGTTGATATTGCCAGCCATTAAATGTAAAATGAACAGTGTTTACATTTCATAACAAAACACGTTTGCCCATTTTTACAGGTAATGAAACCGGTTTATAATCCTCCTATAGTATCATCCTCTGACTAAGGCTATGCACTCCTTGTTTACGGATCCTAATATCTACAAATTCAGCCAAATTCCTCGAAATTCCTCTCCTCTGACGTATTAAGAATTATTGAATTTGTTAATAACATCACTTTTCCTTTTTTTTTACAACGGCATTGTTATCAAAGCTCTAATCAAAGCCGTGTTATTGTGGATCGAAGTCTAATTTTTTTGTATGTAAACATAACACAGCGCCATGTTTACCCATAATGCTTGGGCTAAAAATAAATCAAGGTTAAGGTCAAACTGCTTAGTAACGAATACACAATGCAGAGAGTAATAAATACAGTGAAACTTCGATACATTTACCTTCGTCATGCTGCAAATAGACTGCTATCTACACGTTTTAGAGGAAAGATCAGCCCGACAGAGCTCCTCCAACTCTTTAATTGCTGCTTTATTCAGTCTGTATCGGGAAATGACTTCTCGATCGGTTAAATCATGAATATTAACCGTTCGTTGCCGAAAACAGCGTGATTTTCGTCGGCGGCGCTCGATTACAAGTAGTAAGGCGGCCATTTTGTTTGATCTGCGACTGCTTCTCAGCGATCGCAGAAAAAATGCATGATCTTAGGATAATCGTACGACTATGAAAGTCTGCGACGTTTGATAAGACACCGCCAAAAGCGTACGATCGACGTACGACAATCGTACGATAAAAACGGTCGTACGACCGTTGATAAGACGGGCCCCGGATGATTATATTCTGATAAACCACTAGTGAAATTTATAAAATATAATTTTCACTGTAGCCGGACTTTATCTGAATGCGGATGAAAAGAAAATCAAAACTGAATGGAATAACAGGCAAAAATAAATGCCGTCATGCGTAAATTTTGCTTCTTTCGGAAAAGAAAGTCGATGTCACCAGACATTATGTTAAAAATGTAACAAAATTAGAGAAATTTAACAGAACTTTATTTCAAACTTGTTGATGTGACGTCATGATGTGATGACGTCACAAAGGAGAATGCGCGACGTTACGCGGCAAAATCAGTAAAAATTACTTAAATTACTTAAAACGCATGGAATAAAAAGAAAATTTATTTGTTTTACATATAAGATTGAAATATATTTCATTCGTGAACACCAGCTATTATATTTTCACTCGTGGCTACGCCACTCGTGAAAATATTGCATATGGTGTTCACTCAGTGAAATTATATAGAGGATATTTGTTTGTTTGTGTGTAAGATGAAATTTTATTTCATCGAGTGAGCTTTAAAAACAGTATTCTCACGAGTGGCGTAGCCACGAGTGAGAATACTGTTTTTAAAGTTCATGAGATGAAATAAAATTACATCTTACACAACAAACAAACAAATTTTCTTTTTATTTTATGCTTAAAAACAAGTTAAAACAAAATTTTAATAATTTTAACGTTAATATTAAAATCTGTTTCCCCCATTGAGAGCCCCATTTAGACGGAATTTCTCATTTAAAACAAGAAGTCTTGAGCTGAAAAATAAGTCCGCCAATCAAGGTTAAATGACGGTGATATTTATTCATTTTATTAAAAAAATATGAATGAGCGCTTGTTTTAATAATAAAAACAAACAATTCTTGCAGGAGAAAATTCCAACCATCCATCCATATTTCTGTTACTTACTGCGAATTTATATTCTAACACTATCGGAAATTTTTCTATATAGACAAAGAAGGCCCGAAGCGTGCATTATTCTGCAACAATGCACTCGCCGTTCTTATTATCTCCCTGTGTATTTTCACATTGAGGGCGCCATTTTGTTTGAAAAATCTGATAAATAAAAACAATTTTTTGTCGAATTTTGTTGTGAAAACTATCTAGAATGATAGAAAATGGTCTAACTAAGAAAATAAATCCGAACACCAATATCTTTAATTCAGTCGTTAACGCTGTACAGACGTTTAAAGTGTTGTTTACGTGACGTCACAATGTAGCGCCAAACAGCACGTGCAAAACAATCAAAATCAAGTACGCTATTTTAACGTCGCAGACGAGTTAAGTTTTACATTTATTTCACTTTTAATAATTTGTATTTCGCTTGGAAAATTATAGAATGAAATAAAATAAACAAACAAAGTTTTATCAACGTTTTCAAAATTCGTTATTCTCAAAATGTTTCTACACACGGTAGATTTAACGACAGTTTTTTTCAACCCACTGGAACGGCCTTTAAAGAACGTTTCTATTGGAAACTCTAAGGCGAAAACAAATTTAACCGCCAAACATAAAGTCCAACTTTATAATAATAATTATATTTTTTCTTGACGTGTTAGAATGGAAATAGATATTAATTCTTCGTGCATTATTTTAAAATAATGCACGTTTTTCGTTCAAATGCTTTGTAATTAAAAGTTTGCTTTGTTTTAAAGTTCATGAGATGAAATAAAATTACATCTTACACAACAAACAAACAAATTTTCTTTTTATTTTATGCTTAAAAACAAGTTAAAACAAAATTTTAATAATTTTAACGTTAATATTAAAATCTGTTTCCCCCATTGAGAGCCCCATTTAGACGGAATTTCTCATTTAAAACAAGAAGTCTTGAGCTGAAAAATAAGTCCGCCAATCAAGGTTAAATGACGGTGATATTTATTCATTTTATTAAAAAATATGAATGAGCGCTTGTTTTAATAATAAAAACAAACAATTCTTGCAGGGAGAAAATTCCAACCATCCATCCATATTTCTGTTACTTACTGCGAATTTATATTAGCCTGGCTTTCTAAAATGTAAACGGCAGCCATTTTTTAAAGTTGTGTATTTCATGGGAGGAAAATAATTGTGTAAGATTCAGAAGGATATAATTTGGATTTGTTAGTCATACACCTTTTAAAAAGAAAAAATCTTATTTGAGGATTGCAACAGACAAAAAATAAGTGTTGACAGAAGTGAAAACATTCAGAAAAGGAGCTAAGAAAATGGAAAACTTGGAAGCTTGCTGAAGGAACGCTGGGTTGTTTTATTTATTTTACGAGTGATGGCTGTCAATGCTTTTCAATTTTTCATAAAGCATACGGCAGTTATTGCTCGTAGGATACTTTAATATGCCCAAATGTCATCAAGAGCAGTTTTGCAAGGGGAAGGAATGTATTTTTCAGACTGTAAAAACAAAACAAAAAAAAATTTAGAGACGAAATTTGGTGATTGGAATTTGAAGGAATAGAAGTAAGTTTTCTCTCTGTGTTACTTTTGACATTTAAGTTATTTATCTATTTCAGCTTTGCTATTTCTTTTAACAGTCTGACATTGTCAGAATTGTCCGTAAAAATAAATTTGAGGTACCACATGGGGAAAATCTTAAAAAAGTAGTTTCGTCATTGAAAAAAGTGAAATTATATTTTGATAATTTTCACTGTGAAATTATCAAATATAATTTTCACGGATAAATCAGTAATCCACTGAAAAGCATAAAATAAATTTCAATCTTACATGCAAAACAAACAAATATCCTCTATTTATCCAGTTATTTAATTATCAATGGTCGCGTTAGGTAGATGAAAAAATGTACTTCTTCTAAACTACATTAAAAAAAAAAGATTACATGTATAGAATTTCGCCTGGATTCTGTGTCATTCCGTGCCTAGATTTCGCCCTGGTTCCGTGCCAAGATTCCGCCCAGAATCTGTGCTAGTTTTCCGCACATAAACAGTTCATGCTTATTTACATACTACACGTCAAATTCCCTCCCGATTCCCTTTATTTGGCTTGTTCAGATTACTGTAATTCTGGGCGGAATCCGTGAGGTAATTCCGTTCCATTTCTGCTGTCACAAGGCATAATTATTAAATATATTGGCGAATATTCCCTTCCATATTTTCGACAGTTTCCGCATGTTTAATATATGTCAATCCATTTAGGGTGCAGGCTACCAAATTCAGGCTGCTGGTCTGCTACGGAGCTTATATTATTTCAGCAGTACAAAGGTAAAGTTCATATAATTATGCTTGTAAGGGCTTAAAAATTGATTATGTAATGAATCTTCGACCGTTTTCCCTTGATCTTCATGGACATTATAAATGTTGACTTTCTTCGGAACTTCTTTCCGTACGAATTTTAAATTTTCATTATACAATAGAATTGATTATTTGAAAGAGTCGTGTCTTTTTTTAAATGACAGTACTCATAATTCAATTGTACAGTTGATTTCTTTCGTCGTGTTTTAATTGATCGTGTGTGCGTGTGTTTGTGGACAAGTAATAAGGAAAAGACAACTTGTGCTTTTTATCTCTTTCTATCATAATTGACAAATTTACAAATATTAAGGAATAGGACAGTAAAAGATGTAAAAATAAAAAAATGAAATAATAAAAAATGGTACAAACATGAGTTTGAAAGAAAAAATCTTTTTTCAAAAAATGAATGCTTTCAGATGTGCATGATATACGGGGAAATGTGTTTTACCACGTCAATGTTTCTAAAAATAACTTCGAAAGAGTCTGAGCAGTATTGTCAAAAAACAGATAAAATAAATAAACCGTCATTGCACTGGCGATCACATTAAAATGTTAATAAATACGAAATATTCTTGCATATCAGACAGGATTATCTACCGTTTACACCGGTGCTAGAAAACTCTATCTTACACCCCCCATGTAAGACAAGTCGCGTACGTTTTAAATGACGTCATTGACGCGAGCCTTTTATGAATGAATTGTGTTCTTAGGATGACGTCACTTAACCGTTATGAATGAAGTTGTAAGTTCATACGCTACTATAAGAAAAAGTGCGTTATGAAAATATCCGTTTTTGTAATTTCTGTTCCGAAAATAATTGATATTTAATATGCAAGAAAAAGAATCAAACACCAGCTGTCAGTGCAGACGGGAATATCTAGCTCTCGGGTAACTGTTTAGCGGAAACTCGGCAGAGCCTCGTTACCGCCGTAAACAGTTACCCTCGAGCTAGATATTCCGGTCTGTACCGGCAGCCAGTGTAAGATTCTTATATTTCTCTACGTTTCACTTTTTTAGTTCGTCGGCTCCGTGTTACACAGCAGCTTGATGAATTCTGAAATGAGAACAGCTTAATATTAGTTAATGAAAGAAACCATCATAAAATATTAGCTAACTTAACGTATCATCGGTATATTCAAAATAAACTTCATGTTAATGTGTTAGTAATATATAGGGCGCCTCTAATAAAGATACGGCTCTACTTTGGATATAGGTTCCCGGGGGAACATCACCGTAATGCTACAGACTCAATGGTAGGTAGATGATTTAACAGTTACATGAATATGAATGATTCTTACTATGAATATATTTTACTTTCGCACAACTAGTATTTCACATTTTTGTAACATTTTTATTTGTTTGGGTCGTCAGACCAAACAAATAATGGTAGCGAAATTTCAGAGTCTAATGTTGTTAATTGCAAATGCCGAAAGTAGTCCACTTTTTTGAAGCGGTTACTTCCCTTTTGTATGTACACTAAAGCCGAAAAATTCAGGGGAGATCACTGCGTAAAGATGGTCAAAGACAGGCGCATCAATTTTCAAGCAAAGTAATTCCCGAATGGTCGAAGATTTCTAATATTGTTTTTATTGTATTTTTGCTGATCTAAAATAACTAAATACAAAGCGGACATTCAATCTCTGACACAGAAGTTTACGACAAACCTAACAACAAGTAGTTCTCAAACAGCTTAAAACTAGCGATTTAAAAGAAAGAAATATTTTATTTTGTTAGCAAGTTATCCAACAAATTACAACGCATTTAAAGTTAAACAATAGCGTTGGGCTTATAGAATTGTCAATAAATGCACAATCACAAATTACGCGGATGAATATGATTTTATCAATGAAATACTATTTATTACCGAATACTACACAAACCGAGTAGTGGAATATATAGATTCTACATGTCGGACTGTTTGGGCGAGAGGATTTTCGCTAAAATATTTTACTTCAATTTTAAACAATAGGTTTAACCCTGAACAAAATACCTCGAAATTAATAAGGATTACAAACCCGAAATGCAATGGAAGTTCTAATTTTAGAATGACTTGATATTATTCAGACTTTCAGTGTATAACCCTCCGTGGTACAGTGGTAACGCGCTCGCTTAGTGAGTGAGAGGTCTCGAGTTCGAATCCCAGTCGAGGAAACTTTTTTTTTTGTTAAATTCTTTTTTAAGTGTTTTTGTTAAGGAAGTAGCCATGATGATATGCAAGGATAAAGTGTGGCTGTCGTAAAAAAATGAACATAAATGATTTTTTGATGCAACTCTAGTTATGCAGAATTCCGTATGTATCAAACTCTGGTGCCTTGCAAAATGAATTATAATACATAAAAATAAACCTATACAGGAAAATGCATGCAGATATACAGTACGATTTAGATTGCAAAGATCAGAAATACCACCGAACTTGCAAGCCCTTTGATTCTTTATAAATATAAATGCTTATAGTAAGCTCCAGGATTATTTACATCTGTGTTAAACAACAGTTAAAGTCGTTACAAGCCCTAATTTAGAATAGTATGGTTTTCTTCAGCCCGTTCACATATAAATTCACCGTGGCTGAAGGGTTTTCGGGCTCGCTTAGGAAGCGAGAGGTCTGGAGTTCAAATCCCAGTAAAGGTAACTCATTTTTTTTCAAATTGTTAAAGTCAAATAAACATTGGATTGAATATCAGTGTTGCAATTAGTCTTATAGCCAATTTACTACAATTAAAACGCTGGAAAGCATTGGTGGCACTATACATATAATCTCACAACCTGCACCTTTCTTACATTCTGAGACCCAAACAAATTCAGCGCCTTCTGTGCTTTGATTTTTGTTGCCATTCCCAACAAACCTCACTCACATTCAGCTAAGTTCAAATGTAGAAAATATATAATCTGATTAAGAAAGTCATATTTTAATCAAATCTGCAGTCATATTTTGCATTTTAAAAACAGTTTGTTTGGTTATACAAACAATATTTATTTTACTTTTCAAAATGAAACATATACACGCCGTAAAGCCGGAGCCAGTGATGCCAGATTGCTGCAGTGAAGACAGAAAACTTCAGGTAGGTTAGAAATTTGGTTGATATATTTATATTCCGCAAATAAGGACAATTTCATTGTGATAGACTTATTGTCCATAATATTTAATGAAATGATTGACTTGAGATTCTATCAGGTAATTTAACACTCGTTTCCCTATTTCATAAAATATTTTGATCGTGTTAAAATTTCAGCTTTTTTGCTCAAAATATCTCAAGTTTGAGATAAATACCGGAATTTACTGTTTTACACATAAACTTTCATCGCTTAGGGACGCGCATGCCAATTATTATCCCAGTGCGTCTTTTCTTGAGAATGTCACAGGCGTCCAAACTAGCCCGCTTTAAGAAAAAAATTGCTGCCGTTGGAGGCAGAATTTTTTAGGCTGCCAATGATGACAGAAATGCTCTGAAAGTGGCTAACATTCTGACAGAAAATCAAGATCAACCTGTTATTAATTCCTTTATTCTTAGAGTACTTTTATCAGCAACTGTGGCGTCGGACTATCTCTTACTAATACGTTCTCTCTCAGCTCCACTTTGCACTGCACGCTCGCACTTTGCACTGCACAATCACACTTGACACTACACACTCGCACTTTGCACTTGATCAGGTAATCAGCTTTCTTTAAATGTCTAATGAAACACATATTCAGCGATACAAATATACTGTATTATAAGGACATATGTATACATAAATGTTGTTAGCTGAATATAATCTAACTTAATTCAATGTTCTAGTTAAAGAATATAATCAATTTCAGAATAATAAAAAAACACAAGAAAATGTATATAAATTGTTAAATGAGTGAGCATATTGTTTTTTAATACACTTATTGCTACCTATAGTTACAAAATTGCCTACTGTATATAGTTTTAGGATTATCGCTTTTTTTTATATTCATTTTCTCTATCTTTTTCCCTTCCTCTCATTCTTTCAGGTATAATCTCTTTATATTTTAATGTAAATCGCTTCTCGAATCATTTCCGCAACTTCATCATCACTTTCACTCTACTTACCATTATAATCTACCATTCCATCTCCGTTCATATCCGCCTCTCGAATCATTTCCGCGACTTCTTGGTCCGTTAATTTCTCCCCTAGATTCGTCATCACATAGCGTAACTCATCCGCACTAATATAACCATTATTGTCTTTGTCGAAAACTCGGAATGCTAAAACAAAATCACAAATCTATCGTTAAATTACATTTAATTAAAATCTATAGTTAAATAACATTAAAACTTGTTTATTCAAATTCTACGTTTGCAAAAGATATTTAAGATATTTGAGCCTTTTAACCATTATTTTTTGCCTTCAACCTGGACAAACACGGCAAGTATCATATCATGTGGTCGAGTCGATATCTGGATGACCGGCGGACGACGCTGGATGATATACCTCATGTAATTCAGTTTCAAATGAGAGATTAGTGAAAATATACGAGTCGCATGCTTAGCTATAAATGAGCTAGATTTGACCTACTTTTTAGTCAGATCTTTGGAAAACATTTATGATAAAGCCAATACTTGATAGAAAAGATAATATCATAAGACTTTAGACAAAGCAATTTTTACAGCTCTTTTTTTTCGCTTGCTGATAAGTAAACATACCTCTGACATAAGTAGTGATCGAACTTGTTATCCCTCGGTTAGAAAGTATACATAGGCCACCCCTTATTTAAGACTTTATATCGGATAATGTAGGCCTAATAAAGATTACCCTAATAAAAACAAAATAAGAAAGCTTTATATCTTTGTCAATGTAGACAATTAGCCATACCTTCTCTCATCTCCTGTTCTGGATCCGCCCTCCGCTGGTACCCAATCATCATCTTTACAAACTCATCAAAGTCTATACTCCCGTTCTCTGTATAAGGAAAACAATGGAATAATTATCCGGAATAATTACACGACGGTTTTAGCCTGTAAGTACATATTCTCTTCTAAAAGGATAACAAAAATAGTACTTTAAAACTAATAAAGACGTTCCGAGAGGCCAATTATTTGTATATGACATGGCACTCATTCTTGATGTCTGTTAATTAAATGAATACAATAATATCTTTTTTCTCATTATGATGAACTTCGTCTGACAAGATATACAATTAGACATTTTTCCGCGTTCATTATGTATTTGGATGGCACAAAATGTGTGTTCTCGAGTTTTCTCGTAAAATCTCTAGTAATATAGATGTTTACAAGTGATTACATAGTAACTAGCAGCCAGAAATAGCTGGCTTGGTTCCATTCATAACACAAAAATGTACACACTCGAATGTTGTTGATTAAATACTTCTAAGACGAGATCCCTGTAATTGATTCCTTCATGTATTTTACATGTTCCTTTTCATTCTCAAAATTACTAGGCATGATTAATGCGTGACTGGAACCTATTAACTGATCCGCTGAATAATTGAAATTGTCAAAATGACAGAATTAATGAAGACAGCATAATTCTGAATTATGATTTATTCACAGAAATAGAACCGATTTTCATCGAGCGAATTTTCTAACAATTCCATGCCCATGCTTGCATACATGCTCATGTTTTATTTTTTTCATGACTACACCGTGCTTCTCATGAAATTAATACAGATCAGTTTGTTCCCGTATCTTGACACTAATGTGCATAAAACGGTTGCTGAATTAATGTAATTATGGCTTGAATTTGACAACAAATGTTCATTGATTATAAATTGAATGCACAAATCTGCAGAAGTCACAACTTAAGCTCGAATACAAATTAAATAAAACAACGGAATCAAAATTGACGGGATTAGGGTTATATGTCCCACACTGCTCATTTTTTATTAGTTCGTCTGTTTCAAAGAAAAACACGAGCTATTATGAACACAACAGAACAGACCAGAATTTTATTCACATACTTATACATATGTGCATCGTCTCTTCTTAACAAAGATTTGATTAAACATAGTCACATGGCAGGTGAAAACAAACAAGTTATAAACAACTTTTTTTAGATAAATTAACAATAATTTAAGAGGACAAAATTTATGCAAGAAGATAATAACAATTCAATTATGTTAAGAGTTAATGATTGTGTTTCGAAACGATAAAGATTCTTGGATATAAGAGGGTTGTCCCAAAAGTCCGTGACAAATTTTATAGCTGGTTCATTTTTAACGCCAATAGATAATAATTCACACACATTACTGTTAAGGTTATTATTTAACATTATAACAAGTCATTTACAAAATATTTACTCTGGTTACTTAGAAATTTTCAGTATTAACGACATTGGATTGAGTTGCCGGCGCACGTCAAATAATTTGTATTTTGATACGAATAGGCTAAAATTAATTACGTATATTTCAAGTATCCTATGATGTGTCTGCACAATGCCACGTTGACTTCCTCTGCTGCTATGTTTACGTCATCTCAGAGAATTTTAGTTAAATAACTTAAGAAACGAACAGCCTACGGATAAATGAAAATATCTCATAAAAAAAGGTAAGTTAAAATGGCGACGTTCGAAGAATTTGCGGCGCAGTGAACATGTCATTTAGGTTTTGTGACTATTTCGAGATGACACATGTTACGATTTTCAACAAATATACCAAATAGAACAGTTTAAAAACATATCCTGAGCATTTGTGTACAAAAGGCATGAACGGAACCAGAGTTCTACACTACAAAAAACGAAAATCAGGAAAGCATTAATAGGAAGACCGATCTCCGTCGCCTATTTCCTACAGCTAAAAGCAGGTGCAACCTGACCGGATGTTCGTGTGTAGCAAAAATTAATGTATGTCATCCAAACATTCAACAGACTTTAACCAATGATTTAAGTCTGTAATTGGCGATTTATGGGTAAAGCTGCATCATCATTGCGTTTAATTAAAGCAATTGAGTGTATTTGAGAAAGGCGCCTTATATAGATTTAACTCCGTCTTTGACGTTTGACGTACGCCGCGATTCGGATAGTTGCCATAGTGTTTACGGCATATGTTTGTTGTTTGTTGATATTTTTCTATGTAAGTTTGTGAAAACGCTTCAATTATATGGGTTTATAACATATTAAAATATCAAGTTCGTATCTATTTTAGATAGCTTTTAAACAATCTTGTCACAGAATATTGGGACAACCCTCGTATTTTGCATAATTATAACAATTTATTTTGCGTTGAAAGTAGATATATAAATTTAAACACAGATGGTCTAACATAATAACATTTTTTAAGATACTGCATTTGGAGACTATGAAAACAAGGGCATACACATATAAAGTGAAACTAGTATTCATCGTCAAATGTATTGCAACATAAACAATATCGCTGATCACGAGGTGTATTATTCCTATTGTATCTCCCAGTCTGTATTCTTAAAGGATGTACAGATAATCTTAATCTACAAAATTAATATATATCTATACAGTCGTTTAGGGTGTTCTGGATCGCTAACAACAATTATATTTGTCACTTATCTGAAAGTAGCATTGTTGGAATTTTATTTGTTTCAAGAGAAAGATAAATTCTTCCTCTCTTTAACCAACATAAGTTTTTGCAAAAAGCTGTTAGCTTTCATTCTTGATTGTACCTTCGAGCAGCATGACCTTTTCGGTTATTTTCGGTTCAGTTTAGGCAGTTTCGGACCATATTAGGGATCTTCTCAAAACATTTTCAAAAACCTTCCCAATGGGTTACTAATCAGTAATTGTGATGTGTTTCAGAAATATTCTTTGTTTGTAAGAGCCATTGGCATTAATTATCAGAAGAACAGACAAAAAGGCCATTTTACACATGGGTCAATTTAAGAGAATAATGATTAAACTATTATTATTCAGAATTATTTATTAAACAAGATGGTAACAATTGACTCAGTAGCTAACAAGATTATAAAGCATGTAAACACTGATTGAGATCATAATCTTAAATAATTGGTTTAACAGGGTAATCACAGTTAATCAAAGAATAATCAAATAGACAACATACAAAATGACTAGATTTTAAAGCATGTAAACACTAATTGAGATCATAATCTTAAATAATTGGTTTAACAGGGTAATCACAGTTAATCAAAGAATAATCAAATAGACAAAATACAAAATGACTAGATTTTAAAGCATGTAAACACTGATTGAGATCATAATCTTAAATAATTGGTTTAACAGGGTAATCACAGTTAATCAAAGAATAATCAAATAGACAACATACAAAATGACTAGATTTTAAAGCATGTAAACACTGATTGAGATCATGATCTTAAATAATTGGTTGAACAGGGCAATCACAGTTGATCAAAGAATAATCAAATAGACAACATACAAAAGGACTAAAAAATTACACATTATATAATTATAATGTTCAGATCAATGTCACAGAGTGTGCTCAAAACTGATATATCTACATGTACAAATAACTACATACATGACACTTTCATAACTGAACCTTCTGCCATTTTTTCCAAAGTAGAGCTCAACAAGGAAAGGTTATATTCGAATTTGCTTGGTGTACTTGTAATATAATAGGAGCAAGGGATAACTGCTCCACCACCTTTGTCCCCAGGTGCTGGCTAGGGAGGAAAGCTCTGACAGGGTTCACCAGTAGCAACAGCATACACACTGCCATCTTCGTCTAGCACAGTCCTGAAAAACCCTGCTAACACTCTGGGTGCATGTCCAACAGGCAAACCAGCAATATCTGATGATTTTAAGTGCCTCTGATGGTCTGTAATCACGTCATGCAGTTTTTCATCGAACTCCTCAAGTTCTGGCAACCATACTAGACAGGCATCTCGATCAACAATGTTAGTGTACTCTCTGTCCACCCTAAGTTTAGTTGGTGGATCTGTAATTGATGGTTTGATTTGGTATGCTTGGTGTCCCTTAACAACACTATTTTCCAGCACAATAGTTTTTAACAAAGCAGGATCACTTGCTTCTGAAGGGCCTTGAACTGGTTCATTGGTTTTTGCCACAGTCCAAAGTGCTTTTGAGAACACCCCCAGTATGGAAGGTCACGTGATCCGAAACTAGCCGAACGACTGCTTTCATTTCATGGCATGTGACTATTGTCAAGAACAGGTGATGGTATTTTCGCTTATTTTGATTGACAGAGGACATGTTTGTGAACATTTTGGTATATGAACATGATGTATTGGTTCAATATTTACCGATTCACGAGGCCCTGTTCACAGAATCGCCATTTTTTCCCGTACTTTTTCTGGAGTAAATGTGAAGGTCACTTGTCATCAGTAAAAAAATCATGTCATGAAAATCGCTTTTGGTAAATAAATAACCGACAATTTCTCCAGAAAAGACCATTCTTTCAAAATCAAACAACCATTTCAAGAAATATTTACCACATGTTTCACAATTTTATTAGTTTACTGACAGTGGTCCGGAACTAACTAAGATCCGGAACACCCTAAACGACTGTATTTACAAGCCGGATTATCAAGATAATTTTCATAATCAAAATTAATCTTAAAACTCTTGTAATTAAACAAAACATGGCTACGTTCTAACGTAGTTGCCCACCCCTGTTTAAAAGTATCTATAACTACGTTTTAAAAATAAAAGGGAACATTTTTTAATCAACGCAATCTTCATTAAAAATTTCAGCAAAAGCATCATAACAGAGTAGCTTTTTAACATTTGAAACCCAATTGCGGTGTGCTTTATTACGATTTTTGTCTTATGATTCATGTGTCGTCGTTGTTAACGTTATTGTCATTATGGTTGGCGAGAACTTAAACTTTACCTTCCCTTTTTGTTTTTGTTTAAATATTAGGTTACTCTAATCGCCGATGGTACCCGAAATGTATGTGTGCTGTTTTGTGTGTGCGTTATGTTCGAAATATGTATAGTTATTAAACCTGTTGGTATTTATGAAGTATAAATGTGGGTGTATGGGTGCGGATGTGTGTGCGTGCGTTTGTTTGGATGTGAAAAAAACAACTCTTTGTGACCATGCGTTTGTATTATCTGGACAGAAGTTTATTATATGTTATGTTCACTTTATTACTGTATGATCACAAAAAAGAGAACTTAAATTTAGGCCATCATCACAAAACTTTAAATGCATACTTATCATGACAAGACGCAATTGTAAATCAAAGGGATTATTCTGAAAACTATATTTTAAGAGTTGACCCACTTCAGTTTTTTTTATTAATATCAAACATTAAGAAGATGATTTCAAAACTATCAAAGGTATCAACTTGAAACACGAAAACCTTCTGTTCATGGTAAAACAAGGGACATTTTTCAATTATGCACAGTAGTAAGACAAGGAGCATTGACATTAAACTAATGTTTAGGAGTTATGCCCTATTTCACTCTATATAATATCTACAAAATATGGCTATTGATAGAAAATTTCAAAAACTAACAAAAATATTGTACTTATGCCCCCTTTTGATACCCACATCTTGAACATTCACAATCATAAATTTATTCATCTTATTGAGAAGCGAATTACGCAATAGCCATAACACCAAAACAATCTTGATTTTATTATCCACAGTCGTTTCCCTTTACAGACGAGCGTTACCAAAATATCTGTAATGATCTTGAATAATACCGGAGACAATTTAATTTAATGAGCGTTTGTCTGTTTTCTTATATCCGAAAATCATTAACAATAACATCATACAAATGTTTTTCAAAAACGACCCTTCAAAAACCAATTCAAACAACTTTTAAACCCAAGCCGCACTTTTATCTTGAATCACAAAAGATCATTGGTATGTATACTTCAGACAATGGTTGAAAAAAAACGCACTCAGTATACCTGTAATGTTTTAACAACATGTGCAGAACATGCGATAAGGTATTTTTTCTGAGTAATCATAGTTTAAACAATGTAATACTAGATTATGAATGTTAGGTACTCATTTATCGAACAATCCATACAGGGCTATATATAAATGGCGGGAACTTACTGTTGACGTCAGCATGCTGGATCATCGTCTCTATGTCCTTGTCGGTAGGCGACTGACCAAGCGCCCGCATCACTGTGCCAAGCTCCTTTGCACTTATCACATTGTCTTTGTTTTTGTCGAACAAATTGAATGCTTCACGAAACTCTGAAAAATATTTATATGTTTATTTACTTATTATTGTTCGCTTCACTCTAATAACACTATACATTGTAAATGGTTGAACATATTTTGCGATTTTTTTGCAGGGGTAAAAACACCAAAAAGTATTCTTTGAAAAACATGATTGGATCAAGAAAGCAATGCCTCATTAACATAGTTGATTAACAACTGAAATGGAAACTAAATCGGTGATTTTTCATCATTGCAATGCCCGTAAAATCTCAGTCACTAAAATCTGAAATCTCAAAATCAGCTTTTCAAAAGGAGAAAAAAATAAGCATATATACCTGCAAGCTGCTCTTCTGTTATTCCGCTTGCCTGAAAAGATAAAAGGAACCAAAATTTAATTGTACATCTTTAATTTCCATCACTGAGCAATGATATTTAATTATGTGTTTAATACAGACTAAAATGTCAAGTTGTATTTCCTAGAAAATACCTCATATACGCCATTTATCCAATGTCTTTATATTTTTGCATTCTTGTCTCGTAATACATATAGGTAATAAATCATTGAAATGAGATACATCAAATGCAAACAAATTGAAACTGGAGATAAGCTGATCTTAAAACCAAAGCAAATAAACAAAATTGAAAAGAGAAAACAGGAAATTAACTAATATCTTGAAATCAAGATGCAGACGACTTCTTGGGGAACATTAGCGGCGCCTGGACAATAAAATTTAAGAGGAAAATCTCTTTGATAAAGTAATTGAATTAAGGCATTTTCTATTCTTGCATTACCAAAATGCACTTATTCGAATTTAGCTTATTTTGTTGGACAAATCTTGTTTGTGATCAGCAAATAGTTGGAGAAACGGTTGTTTCAAAGGAACATCTAATACATACATTCAAAACTTATTCTGTATCATTTCTGGTGATATACTTAATGACCGCAGCATATTTTTGTACTGAGTGACCTTTGGCCAATTATCTGGCTTTACAACAAGCAACATATGGTACATACGAAGTTTGAAATAGTTTTTGTTAGCATATTACTATGTTGAGTGTATAGTGAATGAGCTATATATACAATAAAAAAAAACCCATGCAAAACGAGTCTGAAAATTAAGAAATCTAGAACTCAACGCTTTTTAGAAATCAGTTCTCATTTGAGAAAATTTGTATAATAATAAGAATAAGAGGATCTATTTGTATTTTCATGTTGACAACTGTGTCATTACGTACTTTAGTGTATGAAAATCATGTTTCATTATACTACCTATACAATTCTTGATGAAAATACGTTTTTCTTTTCTCGCATGTATGTTATATGTTTCTCGAGTCGTTAAGTACGTGAATTGGCGCATGAATACAGACTGTTTTACAATAAAAAGACAATCAATGCGCTATACTGATAGATTGTGTCTCTCTCTTTGATTATGTGAAGTTTTATTAACACTGGATTTATACTCCGGGCGTGAACACCATATGGATCTTAAGGTAAAGTTGATTAAGAAAGTTGTAGTCTAGGGGTGAACCCCATATTGATCTCAAAATTGAGCCTTGGTAAAAGAATAAAGTTAAAAACTTATCATGTGATTGACCTATATTCTTTTTCACATATGGTGTTATAGTGCACACACAAAGCATGTTATATTCGCTATGTATCATAACATGGAATGCGGCAAACCACAAAAGGCTCAAACAAACGAAATAAAATTATTCGTACCATTACAAAAAATCTCTTAACCATTTAGCTGAACGATGATTCGTAACTGTTTGCAGTTACTTCTTTT